ATTGCCTGAAAATGTACAATCAAAATGTAATGCCAACAATGGAAAAGCGGGGATCAATCCATGTGCATAAATGAATAGGTGACGCTTGCAATACGCAACGCTAACCCAGTATTGTGTGTTTGAGCCGTAGGTCATGTTTAGAAGTATATCATATACTAATCCGGCGATTAAATTTGATTCAATTAAAATATGCAATTAAAACTTCCGCAGCAATGGTTGAATGTATGGCACAAATTGTATTGTGTGTATTCAAAAAGAGCTTTCATGCGCTCAAGAGTTTACCAGATTCTTGTTGCAATTATTCTTCAGAATAAATTTTTGGTTTTACGAACAAAATAGCAAAAAAAAAACCGAATATTTTTGTGCATTTGTTACGAAACGATTTAGTTTTATTCAGAGTAGAGCTTTGAAATTCAAAACCTACGGATTCAGATGCGAAATATTCTGCATCACAGACAAAGCAAACGGTGGAAATGCCATGACAACAAAATGTTGCGAGCATCAAGTACATCATCCATGGAACTTACATCCTGTGTATATGTGTTCGCGATGGGCTTCATTTAAGCTCGACAAGTGACGAGCATTGAAAATGAGATCACAGCATATCTTTTTCTGGTATCTATCTCTATTTTGCTTTACAAAAAAAAAATAACATCTGTTTTAACAATTGATAATGTCGAAAAGATTGCATTCAATTAATAATCCAGCATGCTCATTTGACTGTGTGCAAAACGACAAACAATAAATGATCACACATTGCTTTTAAAAACTAATTATAAACGTCTATCTCTTTTGCACTTCCTCTTTATTTTCTTCATTTTTTGAGTGCATTTTCATGGCACTGTGTGTTCTATTCGGATGCTTTTTGATTGGCTCGATGTATTGAGTGAAATGTGCAGGCAACATGCAGTGCAAAAACATGTTTTAAAAATGCCAATTAAACCGGCATCCATTTTTCATGATTGAAACATACATTTTAAATATCATGGCAAAGATAAATTCCAGGCGAAGAAAAAAAAATATAGCAAATTCTATTCATGCGTTTGATTGTTTGAAGATATAATAATTGGTCACATTTTATACATAACAGTCACTTTTACAAATAGGCTCTTTCGTAAACGTAACTCTGCTTTATTATATATGCAATGTTGTATAATTCCAAATGGTTCTCTTTTTTTGCAAACAAAATGAATGCTAGTGCATTGAAATGTGTGTGTAGGCTAGGAATTGGTGCATTTCCAATTTTTACCATGTGGTTGGTCATTACACACAATGCAGCTGTCAACGAACACGAATTTGTCGACAATGGCCTTATTGTCCAAAGGTGCATGAGCCAAAATGAAATATGGAAATGGCACTAAAACACCATAATTAAATCATACAATTATGGCAGCGAGTGATAAATTGAATTATTGCAACCAATTTTCGGTGTATATCTGATCAGGATCTTAATCAATTCCATTTGGACATTCAATTCAATAATTTCACATGGATCCGATTAATTGTGCGAAAAAAACATTTCGAATTTTATACGGAATATTGTTGTAATTTCAAGAGTTGATTGGTTAAACTTTATCTATTACTTCATCATGATTCATGTCAAAGGGCAGATTTGAGAAAAACATATAAAGCTTCAGAAATAAATTCACAATTCGCGGTTGAAAACATGGTGATTTTTTTTTTTTGAGTACCCCTTGCTATGTAGACATAAAAAATACTCGGTGGGTGATCGTGTAGTAGACGAAAAAAAAGAACACAGTCGTATGCAAGCGGTGCACTCCGTGTAGCCGATGCATCGAAATAACAATAATGAACAGCTCTTTTTGATTGTGTTAATTTGGACGAGCATCGATAAAAATGGTCATGTGTGTATGCAATGTGGAATAAAAAAAGGGCACCAAAACCATACTCGTTGTACAGGAGAGAGAGGCGATGACACGCACCATTTTTACGTTGTTTCCCCCCCTCCATCAATAACACAACAGAAACGTCAATTAAAAATAACACCGATGAAAAGCCACCGAAAATAAAATCGAACAAGAAAGAGCTTCAGCAACAATATAAATTAATGAAATGACAAACCAATTTACAGGCATCGGCACACACATGTTTAGTGAACGCGAAATTTAATTTGCATCCCGTTCAATATTTAGAGTATTTGAAATATTGACAAGGAAACCGTGAAATAATAGCTTTCAACCAACAAACACAAGAAAAAAACGTTGTTTTTATTAGCTATTTTTTTTTGTACTTACATTCGGTGGTATTCGTGAACGGAACGATAGAAAAAATGGCATGCAAAACATTCCTTCCCCAGCAGAACAGAAAAAAACACTCGCACAAAATTGTCGATGCATGTATTTTATTCGTGCTCGTAACAAGAAACAACAATTTTTCATTAGTGTCATGAAGCCATTAGTGTTTGTCGCATCAAAGAGATTGCAAATGTATGAACCATCCAGAATAGTTGGAATCGTACTGTCGTCGTCAAAGGCGATGGTGAAACGAATGGAAATTTCTTTGAATGTTTTTTTTCTTCTCGTTCGCCTGAAATGCGTAACGAAGTATACAAAAGCACAAAACGCATATAAACAAGCCAAATGAAAGCTTGGAGTCGTATAAAAAATCAAAAGATTAAGACGTTCTGCATAATTCTCATTGGTAATGGCAAGGTTGAAAAAAACGTTACACGATACAACTACAAAGATAGAGAGTAAAAAAGAAAGCATAGCAACGAAGAAAAATGAATGAATTGAAAGCTGGTGCTGGCTGCAGGTAGAGAAAGGAGAAACCGTTTTCATATTTTTGAAATTTATAAAAGAAAACTCATTTCCTTTATGAAATATATGTAATATTCTTTCGTTTCACCATTATGCGTTCATTTTTTATGCTGGTGCGTTTTTTTTTTGTTCTCTACTTCTTCTTCTCCTCTGCTTCTCTCATTCCCACCACAAATTCACTTGGATTCGGCTTTAAAAGGCATCCGCACATCGTTCGATCCAGGGCAAGAATATGCGCGACTTTTGCCATAGAGAGTAACCATGGCATGCTCGGTTTTTATTATGATGATTATTATTATTAATATTGGTGCCATGCTGATTGTTTTACCTCGGATTTTTTTTTTCCTGTTCGTGTTGCGATCCAATTCGACTCAGCAAGGCTCGGCACACTACTTCGTCTCATACGTGGTTTTATTGGAATTGGCAAAGAAAACAGAGATTGTTTTATTTTTTATTCAGCTCAAAACACTCTGGACGTAACTGAAGAACGAGCCAGTCCTTTTTTCCCGCTGTATATACCGTAAGAAAAGTATTCTCGGCGAATATAATGCGATTTATTTGCATCGCTTTTGTTTTTATGTTGTTTTTGCCTTTTTTGCGTCTGTGTGTGGAATGTTTCGCGCGTTTCTGGAATCGTTTCGCTCGTTGTCGCTGTTGTTGTTATTACTCGGCTGTTGCGTTGATATACAGCTTGGCATAATGCGAAATGTAATGTACCTATTTTCTTCCTTCGAATACACTACTACTACTCACTATGACCCCGATCCCCGTGTCCATGGCACACTACATAATGAATTTTGTATTATAATGAAGCGCCAAACAGCGTATTGCTTCTGCTTTTAAGCGAGATTTTTTTTTCATTACAAGACTCTTGTCAATCGGTTTCTTCGTCTCTTACTCACACTTTCTTTTAACGATTATATACTTTACGATGGAATGATTATAAACATTTTTATTTTAATCTGTGTGTGAAAAGAAATTTAGTTTTTAAATTCATTGAATAATTTCGCCTCTAATAATGCTTCACTGATTTCGGTTGGATGCAAGCGTGCATATTAACGCTGTTCGCTGATAATAATAAATATTATTTGTACCATCACAGTACGTCTATTGTGGTATTATAAATAATTTCTTTGTATTCTCGGCCGTAATGCGAAAACATTAATTTCATAATTATCATAAAATCCATCCACAGACGAAAAAAACCTTTGAATCAAACTAAGAAATACGTCTAAAATATGACATTAGTAGGTTTCCATCCAATATTCCCATATAATGACAGGAATCCTACTAAACAACACACATACGCATGTACAGTACAGTCATTGGCGCATACACAAACGTCAACTCATCTATGACGTTTGTGTATGCGCCAATGACTGTACATGCGTATGTGTGTTGTTTAGTAGGATTCCTGTCATTATATGGGAATATTGGATGGAAACCTACTAACGTCATATTTCAGACGTATTTCTTTGTTTGATTCAAAGGTTTTTTTCGTCTGTGTCGCATTCATTGTTCAGCCAGTTGTGAAATAAACATTTATGAAGTTCAATACAGTATCATTTCTTGGAATTATCATATAATCTCATCATTCTCTTTTATATTCGATTTTATTCGATTTTTCTTGGAATATACACGGAATATGTTATCTGTTTACATGGTTACAAAAATGGTACAAACTCAGTTTTCGAGCATGATAATTCATGAATGATGTTGAAATAAAAAAGAAAATAAACCAGTTGAAATCTCCAACAACCGATGGAAACATATGCTTTACGAATACGGAATTTCCAATGTGTTCAACAAAAAGGAAAGAAATGAAAACAGTACTAACCAAAAAATCATACGTTAGCTAAATATCAAACAAGTAAGAAATAAAGAGTAAACTCTCTAGTCAGTCGCTGAAATGTAATAAACACAATTTTTCAATTTATTCTGTCAGTTGGCAATCAATTGTTAAATGTTATCAAATGTGATGAACGAAAAATAAATAGACTCACTAAGACGAATGAATGAATGAACAAAAAAAACTCGTTGATAAGGTGTCCTATGCGATAGTTGAGTTCATCTTTGCTGCTCGTTTTGCGTTATTCGTTATTTTGACTTTGAAACGTATACATTATTTCAGCTGCTGGTGAAATATTTGTGTTTTGTTGAAAGAAAAAACGAGAAAAAAAAACGCTCCATGAACAGAAAAGTGTCGAAGGAATAATCAAAATGGTAACCAGGCCCGTGATATTTGTGTTGATAGTTTTCAGTGCATTGATTGTAATATCCGACGCAGGACGTTTCGGTGGCGGTCGAAGTTCTTTTGGCGGAGGTAGTAGAAGCCGTGGTTCAAGTTCCAGTTCGAGCCGGGGCGGCTTCTTGAGTTTGTTTAGATCCAAGCCAAAGAGCAGTTCGAGTGGAAGCTATCATCCCAGTTCATCACATATATCGTCTTCAAGCAATCATCATTCGACGGGCACTTCGCACGGTAATATTGGAGGATGGAACACAGGAACTAGTAGCTATCCGAAGCAAACTTTTGGCACATCTAACAGTGGCAGTCACAATACATATAGCTCTGGCACATCCGGTTCTGGTAGTCATAGCACTCCATTTGGCTCAAACTCTGGATATGGATCGCACACGTATACGGCCAATAAACCTCCACCATACACGCCCACGAATCAACATTACACACCGTCAACGCAACATCAGACTCATGCCACCAATGCTAATTCATGGAATACACTATCAAAAACCGGATCTAAACCTCCTTATCCAACACAAAGTTTTCATCAAGGTTCCAATGTTCATGCACCTAGCGCTCCCCATGCACCAAGTGCACCTCATTACCCAAGTGCACCTCATTACCCAAGTGCACCTCATTACCCAAGTGCTCCGCACGCACCATCAGCGCCAGCTGCTTCAAACATTGGATGGAAAGTCACACCGAATACGGGCACTAGCCACAGCTCAATAGCTGGACAAACGGCTCATGTAAGTGATAATTAAAATCCGTGAGTTGTGTTTTTATTCGGTGCGTAAAAAAGCTTGACTTTGACATAATCATACATTTCATTCAAATTAGCAAAACACACACTCTGGATATGGAACATCGAGCCGTTCAAATTCAGGATGGACTCAGCCCAGTCAAACCGTGACGGCAAACAAAAATTGGCAAACAGCATCATCACCTCATGGATCTACCAGCCATGCGGATTATCCTCGGCAACAGTACCACCCAACGCAACAGAATTCATTTGGGTCGGCATATCATCCGCAGCCAAATCAGCCGCATGTCGTCAACAATTTCATAACAAATAATCACCAAACACATTTCGGCAGTCCGGGCGTTCCAACTTACTACAGCACTCGTAAGTAATCGTTTTGAATTTGTGATGAAATTGTGTTCGCTGTTGCAATTAAATAATAATTTATTATTTTTTTTATTTTACTTGTCTCAATGTCTGCAGCTCATTTTGCTACTTATCACAGCTATCCAACCTACTATACCCCATTCCCAGGCTATTCGCCGGTTAGTTCATTCGGTCTTGGTTTGGCGTTAGGCAGTAGTTTGGGCCATCATCATCACTACCACGATTACTATGACCGCCCAAGTACCTATCATTATTATCATCATCATACCTACAGCGGCAACAGCAATAACAATAATGGCGACGGCGGCGGTGGTGGAGGCGGAGGCAACGGCAATGCCAACAATTTTAATAACAACAATAATGGAAATAATGGTAACGATAATGCCGCGAACGGAAACATTCCTAACTCGAACATTTACAATTCGGGGCAGAATGGAAATTTGAACAGTGGAAATGCGAATAATTTAAATAATAATCCAAATCAAAATATGCAAACCAATCAAAATGGTACGTTCAGTGAGCCAGTATTTGGGCAATCGACGGCACCGGTTGTGTATAGCATATCGGGTCAAAGCAAAAGCGATGATGCCGATTCAACGGAAATTGTTTTTACAAATCCGTATTTAATTGTTGGCGTTGAAAATATGCTGTTGTACGGTGAATTTCAGGATGAGCAAGATATCTTAATTGTTATTGAACAAGATAGTGATGGTCTTGAGCCGTATCCATGGAATCGCTGGTATCCAATAGGAGAGACAAATGCAACAAGTTCAACTGATGAAACGACCATTGCCGATAATGATTCACATGACAAGACAACTGAAATCAATACAACGACCATCAAAACTGATATGGTGGTCACATCGACAGCTCAGCCAACAAATACAGATAGCATAACCGGAGTACCGTTGGCTCCACTACCAGCTGTGAATTAGGGACACATATTATTAACTTAATTGAATTGTCGTTGTATGTTTTAGTCTTGTAATTTTTCGCTTTTCTCGATTCACCAATACATGCATGGCTGGTTGTGTTTTTTTTTTGCACAATCAAATCTACAATGGAACAACATTATCTTCTGTGTTGTTGTTGTTGTCGTTCAACGAATTGAAAAATAGTATGCGAACCACGTTTGCAAGGAGAACGAATATACATCATTTGCATTGATTTGGTTGGTGTTAAAGTTTATTTCGTTTGTTATTATTGAATCAAATTGACAAAAATAAAATGCAATCACTTGCAAAAGAGATTTCAATCGTTTGCACTGTAATACTCTTGTTCAATAGCATTGAGTCAAAGAAGATACTCTTCAATAAAATACCAGATCAGCCAATTCGTATGTATCCTCTCTTTTGTTTTCTACTTGACCTTATTTTATTTTATTTTTTCCCACATTCTTTAAGTAGAGCAATACTCTCAAACAAACACAAATATAAAGTTTCGTTTCAGCAAAAGATTGTTATCCTCGATAGCAGCGTATCACTTTCGAAGTATTCGGTCATTGGAATTCCCCTTCAAGACTTGTTTACCAATGACGAAGCATTAATTAATAATTTAAATCATTCGTATATATTTGTTCGTACAGCGAATTTGGTACTTTACATTGATATGACGAACGTAAAACCGGGCGAAAATCAAATTCTGTTCGTTGCCGATGATTTTGAAGGGCCCAACGAAGATGATATTTCCGAATTCAATCGAAATCAATATTCAGATGGAATAAGACGTATTATTGAAACGCATGACACAAAGTGGATTCCATATAAACCGGGGACAAGTCAAAATCCAAATCCATTTGACACTGATGATCACAAAATATCATCGATAGAACGAATTTGATGCTGCGTCATCTGAACCAAATAAATGTAGTGTAGATTCAAATAGAAAGAGCGGAAGAGGGAGATGGATAGATAGAGCAAGAGAGAGAGAGAGAGAGATAGAGAGCACATTTCAAATATCAACGCACCTAGACACATAGCACCGGATTTACGGTGAAATGTTTTTCAAAAATGTTCTCACCATACAAAACTACATGCTGTTTTCAACGTATATCAAATACATCTCATACATCGTAGACATGTCGCTCATTTTACGCGAAACACTTATCTGTCGGGTGCAGAGAAATGTCTGTCAACTTATTATGGAAGCTAGCACATCAAAGTGTCAAAGATTATCGCCACTCGCATACGGACACACACTCATGCAGTAAGCAAAGTCGTAATATAAATGAATGTACATTTGTACACGAAAACGACACGACACCGAATGGCAAGTGTTCTCGTTATTCTTTTTCCTTGTTGAAAAAAATAGAAATAAATAAATATTCCGAAATGTTGTTTTAAATTAAGCCAAAACCTCATAACGTTCATAATAATTTGTTGGTGTTCACATGTTCGAAAGAAGTAAATAAACCAAAAGTGACAATGATGGTGTTATTCAAAATATTGTTGGTTTTTTGTGTGATATTTATATTGAATTGGCAATGTGTTGATAGTGGCCGAGGTCGAGGCTCTTCACGTGGCCGAATCACGTACCGAACGAATAAGGGTTCAAGTTCAGGCGTTAGCGGTAGCAGTGGCGGTGGATGGTGGAGCTGGCTTCGAGGTGGTAGTAGTAAAGGTAATGCGCCAACTACGACGACGACGACGGGAGCCAGAGGTGCCTCACCGCCAAGTCTAAGCCACAAAGTCTCAGCACAATCACCCAGTCGTGTCGGTTTTGCCGCATACGGTAACAATTATGAAGCAAATTTTCACCATAGCCAAACGAACCACTTTCGGCCGGTGTCGCATCCATATCAAAGCCATTTTCAACCCCAAACAACAGGTGAGTTGCTAGCAACAACAACATATTTCTATAAATCTTTAATGGGTTTGAGTTTGTCTTGATATTGATTCCATCTCTCTTCTCTGATTGCATTGTATTTCATGTGTACGTGTGTTGGTTAACGCAATTTTGGTCGCAGCTGTATTTGCATACCATTTCATGCCTAGCACGCACGTTCATCACATACACCATTATGTCGGCAGCAGTGGCAGCAGCAGCAGCAGCCACGAACCAGTTTTTTACGACTACCGCAATTCGTCATTATCGTCAACACCTTCGGTGAAGGAACCGATTATTTACAACTACAAGCCACCAATACAAAATGAATCATCGTCAGAGGAAGATGAACCGAATATGTATTCACCGGCCAATCCGAATGATGTATTCATAGCTGGCGTCGAAAATATGCTCCTTTATGGTAGCATGAAAGACAATCAGCATCAAGTATTGTTTATTGCACAGGGCAGTGACGGTATCTCATTTGAGGATGAGCTGATGTTGAAACTCGATCATTTTGAGCCCAGTGAAAATGCAAATCTACATTATTTTCCTGATGTTGAATTTCGCTTCGACGCTGAAGATGAACCAAACGATGACGATTTACAAAACATCTATCAAATGTACAAAAATCTCGTTGATGATGGCCGTTGCTAGGATTTGGACCGTGCATACAAGCCATTTGGATTGCATTCAAAGCCGTTAACAATTTTTTTGCATGTGTTGGGAGAAAATAATTATGTAATCGAATCGAAGAGAAACAAAAATACAAATGAATTATACAAACGAAGCATTTTACACGGGAAGTTGATTTTTGTGAGATTCCATCCGACAGTCCGACGTGTGTTTGGCATTTTTCTTCTCTTTTGATAAAGTGAAAGCACGAAATTTCATTCTATTCAGCGATTGCAGTTGCGTTTACCATGTATAAGTATCTCTCTCTCTCTCTCTCTCTCTCTCTCTCTCTCTCTGTGTGTGTGTGTGTGTATGCTCCAAATCAACAGTGGTACACCAAAAGGGAGCGATAATTTCAGCAACGAAAATGAACAGCATTCCGAATCTCACTCTTCCTTCACTTTTATTCTCGATGCGTGGCATAATGTATTTTTAATGAATTGAGCTTCGCTTTTATGTTCCAATGTATTCAATACACACGAAACCACTGCTTCATTCCATGCTCCACTCTTTTACTATCTTGCCGAATTTCGATGAGATAAAATTTATGGAAAAGCTATCAATTACATCAAATGATAAAAGGAACAGATACCCAGAAAATGTGGAATTGAGCTGGTGCGCCATTCTTCGTGTGCACCAGCGTATGTGTAGGTTTCATTCGGTTTTGGTTTATGTTTTGTTTGGTGCCAGCGCATTTCTTGCAAAAAGACGGACATACAGATAACGCATTGGAGAGAAAAGAAGAAATAGCAATAATTACGGTTACATGATGCGAACAAAGCGAATGAATCTATGTAAAACTCGGTCTCTCGATACCGAAAACTAACTCGCGCGTTGCATATATGGCTATGGTGCCAACTAAGAAAAACGGATCGCACTTTTGGTGCTTTTATAATTCCAAACACTTGCAATATTTATAATTTCATCGAACTCTCTGCTCCACTTAGCTGTCATTGAGCATTGGCAACATGCTTGTGCCTTGTGCCACTACGATCTCGTTTTCGCTCTCTCTCTCTCTTTCTCTCTTTCTCCTTCTCTCTTTCTCCCATTCTTCGCTACGTTTTCTTGCTCATTTCACTCGTACTTGCCCATTCAACGGCTTAGCGAGATTATACGTGAACAGAGAAGCATGGATAAGTATGGTCAATAATTCATTTGGCGTCTGTATTGTTTGTAATAAACATTCGTCATTAAGAAGGAGAAAAATTGATTTCGATTGAAGCCCATTTGCGAGGCAACGTCCAATTCGATTAGGTTATTCGTTCACTTCGTATGGCTCTTGTTTTATGTTTTATGCGATTTTTTTTTCGTTTTCTCCCTCTCGCTCTTTCTTACGCTCGTTCGTTCATTCGCTGTCGTTTATATCCATCATTCACATGGTGTCAGAGGGTCAGATTGAGAGCTTGAGCATTCACTATTTCGTAAAGAGTGTATCTAAGATGAATTGCCTCGCCGGTAAGTATCGTCCCTAATTATCTTTTTCGTCTGAATGTCAGCACTTTGGATTTGTTTGCATCCCTTCAATCCATTGTACAAAAGCAACTGTTCGACTTGAACTAAATAGCTATGCATTTCGAATGATTGCGATGACGATGACAAAAAAATAAACAAATAAAAGTTCTGGTGTTCTCTTGCTGTGCGTTTTTTTCCCTGATGGACGAAAAAAAGGTATGTATATTTATTTTTTCGAGAGCACTTTTTCCGTCGATTTCTTTTGAATAAAAAAAAACAGCATTCATGACACTTTCTGCATTCGAAATTTATTGCACATAAAAATGTTCAGGTGACATAAAAAGAGGTTAATAGAACAACAAACGATAAATGTATATACACGCATATACATGTCTGTAGAGTTGGCATAAGCGCGTCGGCAAGCAGCCAACAAATGTTCACAGCTGTAAACATAAACTGCACTAAATTTCGTAATGAGCAAAAGTGGAAAAAGAAGCGATTCTTCGTAATAAAACGCACTTAATTGCTCTTCTGGATGTATGTATAGCATTTCGAGCGAATTGTATGCGACTAAGTGTACTCAACTGTCGAACAATGTCTGAATAAACAATTTTTTTTCTCTTCTTGTTTGATTCGCTCTCTTTGCATGTTTTCTCTGTTTCTCTTCGCTAACTTGGGCTTAATGTCACGAGTATTAAATTTATGAGCAAAATTACCCATAAATTTCAATGTGTTTTTTTTCTGAAATAAAATGAAATAAAAATATCCACAATACAGTCTCTTATTTGAAATTGCAAGAGAAAAAAAGTGCGCCGAATAATAATAATAATAATAATAATAATAATAATAATAATAATAATAAGGGAAAGTGGGGTAATTAGGAACGTAGGGAAATTCGGAACACCACCAAATTTCGTCGCAAATGAATAGTTTGAGAAATGTGAACAACTGTCATAGTTTTCTCTAAACAAAACATCAAATTTCCATTAGCACTCGACGAGTGTGTACCTACTGTTAGCTCTGTGCGACATCGACATGAAATCAAGTCACGAAAATTTAATATTGAGAATGCCTGTCTGCATTGATTTCACAACATTTTTCAAAGAATCAAATCTGATGAATATGTTTATAATTATCGTATACCATTAATATTTCGACTCACAAAAGGAATTTTGCATAAAAATTCATTGAGTGACTGATACACGATTATGTTGTAAACCTTAGTGAGTGGGGAATTTCGGAACACCCTATATACGAAAAATTGACCAAGTGATTTTTAATACTTTTCAAGTTGATATCGCTATTTTTATGCATATTTATTATATTTCATGCAAAATTTTGACAAATTACTCATTGCAATTTATGCGATCGACCTGTCCACTTGAAATGCACCAAAATGATTGGTACCTATTTTACAGGCAACAATTACAAATCCGACTAATAACAATAGCTATTTTTGAACTTTTTCCTCATTAAAATTAATTCTTCTGTCATTTCCTAGTTCTCCATAAACGTTTAGCATCAAAATTGTTTCAGTTTTCTATCCATTTATGAAGTATTCCGAATTCCCCTACCATTTTTGAAAATCGCAAAATCAAGGGTTTTCTGCCAACGGGGTAAATTTTTTCAACCGATTCGAATTTCAACAAGCGGCAAGGTCCAAAAGTTAGGTTTTTGCATTTACTGAGTCGTACCACTTTGAAATTTGGAAAAATGTTAATTTTTTAGAATTTTATTAAATTATTTCGTTGTGTGTTCCGAATTTCCCGACCTCCCCCTACTAAAAAAGGAGGAAAATGGCAAAAAATTACCGTATAGATAAGATAACCTTGCTTGTGCCGGTCGTTGTTGTTGTCTTCGCCTTTCGATCGTTTTATTTGAACTTTAAAGATTGTCTCCCTTACCTTTTGCATCATTTCGGTTTGCATGTGCTTGTGAATGGCGATGAAACGCACATACACCGATCTGCCATTCGCTAAACAAAATGAAAAGTCTCATTCTTCCACATCGTCGTCTTCGTCGATTGTCCTTCTCTCATTTTGTTGGCTCAATTTTAACGCTTTCAAATAAGTATGTCTTTCTGCCTTTCACATTCTTACATATAATTTTCGTCAAAAGAAAGAAAAAGAGAGACACATACACACAAACAGAGAGAGAGAGAGGGGGGGGGGTAAAGAAAATGAGAATACCCGGCCGTGAAATGAAAGGATGTTGCGACAGAAAAACCACTGATAGAATTACAGTGCTGGCAAAAGTGTGTATGTGTATATTGAATTGGCAAGCATCATGAAAGAAGAAGATAACCGACAAAGGAAAAAAAATATCAAATAAAATAGAGAGCAGAAAAAAAGCATACGAAAACAAAATGGAAGAAAAAGAAGAAGAATAAACTGAATCTGAGTGAAAAACACAACAAAAATAACAGTGCGAAAATGAAAAGGAAAAGAAAACACATCGAAACGAGTGTTGAAATTATGTGAATACTTGCGAATACAGACACGCAACGCCCGACACCCACGTTCAATTTCTAGGTCTCGTCTAATGTCCGATGCTGTGGTATCTTGGCGTTTCGCATGGCTTTTTATGTAACGGTAATAGCTGTCGACTCATTGTGCTGTTCGTTTCTCTTCGATTCACTTTTCTTCTTCTTCTTCACCTGCTTCTTTCATGCAATCTTTCGTTTGCTTTAAGATTATTTACGTGTGTGTCTCCCGGTTTTCTAGTGCAAATTTTGCCATACTCTATCACTCGCCCGCTCTCTCTTTCTCTCTCTCTTTCTTCATCTATCTCTTGCTTTCGCTGACAACACTTGCCGCGCTCCTTCGGCAAATGGCATGAATAGTAAGTAGAAGTGAATAGCATAAAAGACGCAAAAAAGAATATCCGTTTGAAAAAAACGGTGAAATGAAATAGGTGAAAACGTATTTTTAACACAATTGGTTTGTTCTTTGTGTTAACTGCTTTGCTAATGCTATTTACAATTCGCTGTTTTTTTCTCGTCTCTTTCTGCTCGAAGCGTACACACACATCTTTGGTGCATTTCACTTTTCTTCACCTTTTCCTTTTAATTTTTCGTTATCATTTCGGAAGCTTCGTCGTTCACTCTCTTCGAACACAATCAAATGAGAGCAAAAGACGAGCGGCAACAACACACAAAAAACACTCTGATTTTTTTCTTCTACGCTCTCTGTTCAGAATACCATAAAAATAAAATAAAACGAAATAATAATGAAAAGATAATAAAAAATGGTTAGATACTCTCTCTCTCTCTCTCTCTCTCTCTCTCTCGGATGGACGTCATAGTTTTCTTTTATTTTTCACTGTCAGCGAAACGAAGATGAAGAAAAAACTATTGCTGGATTTTGGCTTTCAGTTCGTGTGAGACAGCGACGGGAGCGAAAGTAGGATAACATGGAGTGAAAACGATAATTTCTATTTGAATTCCGAACGAACAAATTATTATTGTTAGAATGTGAGTTCTCTTCGTGCACATACACACAAATACATAGAACCTTCAAGGTTGTTTACCTTTCTGCATTTGCATAGTAGTGTTTCTTTCACTTGTTCCATCTTCGAAAGACGTTTTGCCATGAACAATACAACGAACGCAATATATTCAAACTTCGTACGAACAAAACGAAGAAGGAAAAAAAATATCCAATT